GACAATAATCCAAAAACAAACCTTAAAAACAACACAAAAATGTGTTGGGCACAAAACCAAGCTTCTGCTATGGCCATTCCTGACCTGAACCCTATAGAAAATGAGTGTGCTGAACTGAAGAGGAGAAGCACCATCATGGAGCTGGGAATCTGAAGGGTCTGGAGAGATTCTGGATGAAGGAATTGTCTTCTGACATTGATACTGAAATCCTTCCAGCACTATATAATGCAAAAGCAGCGTCTGCATGCAATATACTCAACAACGCTCTTCTTGATGGAAAGCGACGCTAGTTTACAACTTTACATGTACATGAACACATGCTCACACCTGCACAGATAGCCACATCTATCACGATCACTCAAGGCGACGGCTGGCTCTCGGTTCTCAGCAGGCCACTGCCGTAAAAGAGCGAGTGTCAATAGAAATGTTGGCCTCCAGCCTCGCCGGGCTGTCTAAGCACCTTGTCATAATTGTGTGCAGTGGCGCGGAGCACACATGTCAAACAAGCCATTAAGGGGAAGTCTGGGAAACAATACAAATTAGATGAGAATGAGTTGGACTCCTTTCGGGTATATGTGACCGGAGGCAATGGACGAGCACAAATACACACAACTGGGCCCAAACAACTGTCCAGTGCGATATCGGGTCTTGCATAACAGGGAAAAGGGACTGGTCTGCTTCCATGGGTGCAAAGACCTTGTCTGTTTTTGTTAGAAGGCGCGCGAGAGAGAGAAGGGGAAAGATCGTGTTTTGGGGGTTTAAACAGGGAGATTTATGGTTTCCTGCACTCTTCATGCAGACCCACTCCATCATGTCAGCAGCAGTCCAGGCACAAACACAAACTGTGCTTCTCCTGCTGCCGCTGGAACATTTGAATAGAATTACAAACCAGTTTTGCCTTAAAGTTACACTAGACTGGACAGAGAAGCCGGAGAACACACAATTTAGAGGACAGTGGCCCTCCTGCTGAGAGGATTTGCTTTTATGATGACAATCAAAAAATAATACTATGAAAAATCTAACTAGCAAGACACTTAGTGAGTCTCTTCATGAAGAAAAGTGAGGCACTATTACAGGGCACAACACGTAACCTATACAAATATGTACTATTGAAGGTCAGAAATAAGCTGGTTGGCATAGCAACAATGGGCCCATATTTGTAGATGTTGTTAACTACTCACTCTGAGGGATAAAAACCTCTGTTTCAATTCATGGCTATTCAGAAATGTCTGTGTATTGCAGCCTTTTGAATTGCTTTAAGTCACAGATACTTCTTTATATTATATTAGATATTAATAGTGCATGTTCCTTGGAATACTGTGTAAAATAAAAATTAAATAAAATAAAACGGTAATGACAATGATACTATATTAATAAATGAACATTAATGCAGAGAAATGCTTTTTGCTGCCATTAAAAAGCCCAAGTAAAGGCCAACAAACAAATAAATGTGGCTATGTCATATATTGAAGGTAACAGATGGTACCTAGATATGTACTATGGCACTGAATAATTACTATATTCAAGTACGATGGTATTTAGAAGTATACTATTGCTGTATGTAATTAAAAAAAAAAACACTGTAATACTGTGATAATTTGTGCAAATAAATATATACACCAAATATTAAGCTGAAAATTATGCATTACTGTTTGCTCATACACTATAATATTATAACATCCATACAACAATGATAAATGATTACTTGACTTCATCCTAAATAAAAAAAAATGTTGTCTTTCTCTTTATTTATTCCTTCCCTTTCTAGCTTGTACTTATTTGAACAAATGCCTGAAACTTAGTATTACGAGCACTTCCTGTGTCTGACTGCTTGCCTCTTTAAGAAGAATCACTTTATGTATTCCCCAATTGTAAGTCGCTTTGGATAAAAGTGTCTGCAAAATGACTAAATGTAAATGTAAATGGTTTGCAGGATCTGTTACATAACTCAAGTCTTGAACAATTATACTAATAGAAAGACAAGTCAAAGTCTGTGTAATAAAAACTGAAGTGTATGCGACATAATTGGTTTCATAATGAGACTTGAGAGTGTTCTAATTTTAACGGGTGCGATTAACAATTTAAAAACCGATAGGGATTGCCCCCGCATTACGGTCCCATCAAGTCGTTTCGCATTTCCTTGTAAGCCTGTCAACAACATCTGAATCCTGGATCTATGTGCCAAATGATCACATTAATCATACAACACAACATCTCAAGGTATTCCTGCCTCACTAATGCATCTGTGAATGCTTCAGAAATAGTACTCAATGTTTCATCATCATCCCAAATGCATTACTGCTATGTAATTATTATAATTAAATCCTAAACTACATCAGTAGACGTCTTCCTCTCACAAAAAGTGCTTTAGTGCACTGCATTCTGCCACCGATTTGGTTCATGTTACTATTCAAGGGAGTTAAAAATGTCAGGGTGATACAAATGTTCTGAGAATGGAATTTGTATAAGTAAATTATATAAAATTCATAAAAATAACTATAAAATAAATGTCAGATTGAACTGTCCTGAGAATGAAATTCCTATAAATAAATAAATAACAATGTATAATACTTAAAAATGTATTTATATAATAAATGATAGGCCTATATAACATTTAAAAAAAAAATCAAGTCATTTATGATTTATGAATGGCATTTCTGAAGAATTTTTGTCCAACCAACAAGCAGAAAAAATGAAATCAGAAAGAACACCTGCAGACTCTCCTGTCTTTGTGTCAAGATCTCTTAAAATATGAGATAAGTTGAACTTTTTAGGTTAGCTCAAGCTGTAAAATGTACACTCACGTAAGGTGGGAAATGTTACTACATTTACTTGAGGGTTCCACCATATGACAGTTTTAGTATCATTACATTGAAAATGGTCTTGAAAATGGTATACATGTTCTTTAAAACCATATGAAACCAACACGAATAAAAAGAGAACATCTCTAGGAACTTTCTAAGTGTTTTTCTTTTCTTTACCGTGGACACTCTTACTTGTCATTGACCCAAATGCCAATTCGACTTGAACACAAAAGGCTGTGAGTGTATATTTTCAATCTGAAGCCCAGGTAAAACCAGAGCCGTGACAAAACCTCACTGATACAAATGTCAATATGAATTGCTTTCCTCACAATTCTCTGGAACAAACCGGCCACATCTTACATCTACTTTCTTACCCTCAATGCGTAAACTTGCCATCTCTCTCCTCCAGAAATCAATAGCTTCCATTTCTGCGCTGTACGCTGCTGAGTTGTGTCAAGAATATGTTAGACAGATTAATATCAAAACAAGCTTTGCCCACACCTCCCCGATTTCCTCTCCATGACAGGCTCTTCTGTTTGTTGCTTATGCAAGCAACTGCTGATTCTACAGAACTACAAAGACAGCCATTCTCGAGAATTTCTCGAGGTTGTATTTATGTTCAGATAGCACAGAGGGCAACAAAACTTCCAGGCGTAATGTCAATCACGAAAACTTTGGTGAGCGCTCGAGTTAGGTATAACAGTTAATCCCCAGATGAATTTATGCCACATATTTGATATCTTGATACGCGCCGTTCTCTGCAAACCAAAAAAAAAATGAGGAGATGAACATGATTTTTCGGGTTCTTTTGTGTGAAATCAATGACATGAAAAGATTTAATTAAGATAAGAGACTGGTAATAATTAATTCTGCTTCCTTCTGTCAAGAACACAGCAATGGCTGAATAAATTACACAAGCCCTGCCTTTTATCTATTCCCCTTTCCGAAGACGCCGTATGAGCTTTTCAAAGCTAAAGAAAGTTTGGCAGGGTCTCTGAAAGTTAGTCCACAGCTCGGGCCCACATAAACATCTCAGTCCTACATTCCACCACCTACTCGATTCAATCTGCCATTATATATTTTTTTGCAGGTACAGCTCGGCCCCGAGGGGGAAAACTCGCTGTGACAAACGCCGAACGGAAGGCTGCATTCAGATGTATTCATTACCACACGTCGAGATGTGTAGGAGTGGTTTGTCCGTATCTTACCATCTCATTTCCAACATGACCCAAATTAAAGCAGGAATGCTAGGTGACCTATTGCTACAGGCGACATCTTCTCATACGTAACTCTCACACCGGTCAAAAACATCTGATCTGAAGGTTATAAACTAACCAACCGACACAATCCAGTCATTGTTTCTTTGACTCCTTCTAAAAATAACATTAACATGCGGCCAAACCAAGGGCATTCCAAGTACAGAATCCCCTCAAGTTTATCGCTTGGCGCACACAACGTCGCAAGTGGGCCGGATACAAACAAACGAACATTTGTTTTACCGAAAGCAAGATGTTTTCTTCAAGCCAACTTTCTAAACCGCCACAGAGATAATTAACGGGACACAGCTCTGCCAAATCTTACACGAATGACCTTTGTGTGGGCAACACGGCCCTGAGTTTGAGAATCTGGCAGCGTTTGGTTTGCCGACTTGAGCGGCTAAAACTCTGAAGGACATCCGCTTAACAAACGGCCAACAAAACGATGCTAATTAAAGGCTGCTTTGTTGCTTTGTCAGGTTTCAGCTAGTGATTAAACATCTTTTATTGAGTTGGAACAGGCAGATGCACATACAAATAGCTATGCTTCAAAAGTGGGGGAAACTTCAATACGGATTGGTTTCTGTCATTTGAAGGGGAAATACTTCAATTGTGCTTGTAATAGCGGGATACTTAGATGTCTGTGATGTGATTCCGTTTAATTAAATATCTGTGGATAATTTGGTCTGGGAATGTCATTACGTCCTTGGAACGGGAGACATGTTTTCCCTTTCATGCTCATTTTACTAATGCACAGGCTTTTATATAAGTACATCTCAGTCTTGTAACGAATTAATATGGCAATGAAGGATCATGGATAGAAGTGTAATTGGACAACCGATCTCCCTTGACGTTTAATGGCCTCTGAAGACAGCGGCCGCGGGATGAGATAGCTGGGAGGAGAGCTTTTCTGCGGGCTTGTGTAGGTCTGGCGCATGAAGTACTGTCCGTCTGAGAACAATCGGAAATGTAATTAAGAGCTGGCTGCGGCTTTTAAACGCTCGGCTAGAGCGGAAACATACAGGCGGGGAAGAAGAAACATCCATGTATCGAAAATGTGCGGTGTGATCAATAGCCCACAGTTCGGAAAGCATCAAAGGGGGAATGGAGTTTTGCGACTCGCAATTTCTCGCAGAACTGCAGGTTTTCAAAGCAATTTCTAATGTCATTAAACTTCTATTAAAAAGCAGTTAGAAGCCTCTATTTCTCTACGAGTCAGATGTATACAGTTTAAGTACAATTTTACGAGTTTCCGATCTCTTGGTAAGGAGTAAGGTTAATCAAAACATCAATCAGACATAATTACCCAGCATGGACAGCGTTTCAAGGAGATAATAACTATTGTCTTGTAGCACCAGGGGAATAAAAATCTCAAAGCCCGGATTTTCAACACAAGCCTTTTCTCAAGCCCTCAGACAGAACATCCTACGAAGCAGGTGATTGGGCAATTATTGTGCAAATTGAGCCTAGACCCAACAGAGCCATTTCTTCAAATGCAGTTGTAATCTCAACAAAAATACTGGGGAAAAAAAGTGTTTAACAACGTTTTTTTTGTTACAAAGATAGGTTGGGATGCTAATTAAATGTGTTTATTGTAAACATAATATTGATAAAAATGTGATAAGAAAAAAAATTGCAAGAATAACAGTGTAACAATGTTTTTGGGAAGAAAATCATAGCCAAATCATAATCAATAATGTCCGGAATTGACCCAAATTGAACCAGTGAATGAAAACTGGTGAACTGAAGTGTGTTACTGGCATACTAGCAGATTAATATTGATTGGTTAATCGCAATTAATCGTTTGACAGCACTAATATATATATATATA